AAATTTGTATAATTCACACGTTCCTCGTTATTAGATGCCCTGAACTGCCCATTTACAATATTTTTCTTAGTCTAAGTATTTTCCTGAGAACAGCGTTTTAACACGAAGTTCCAGAACTATACAAAGCATTAAGTAAAATTACTGTTTCATACACACTGACAACGTTCGAGAAAGTAGACGCGATGATTCCCTTCTTAAAATAAAGGATCTCACTTCTTAATCTAAAGCTTTATAAAGAAAACATGTTACTAGTGCAATGTATTCTTAGACAATTTTATTCGTCTAGTGGTTAAAAGCACCAAGATGAATAAAAAGCGTTTATTCATTTTTTATTTCAAGATACTACTTAAAATCTGAAATGTTTTCAAGCAAACTGTTGCCAATGTATTGCAAATCTGAGTTCATGACATACTATATACTTAGGTTTATCAATATTTACTTCTATAAAACAGGATTTTGTACATTTCAAAATTATTTTTGCGCTATGCACAGTGTCTATATTCTCACCACACCAAACAGCCATCAACATAAAGAAGTATTCGATATTGAGAGTCAAGGCAGTTCTGAAATGTCCTTATTCCCCTTAACTCTCCTGATAACAATAAAAAGTAGTTATAAACCATACACAATGCTAAATTTTAATCGTTTCGTAATGTAACTTCGACACTTCATTTAACTAAAATTAAATTAAATTATTAAAACTTGTGCTATCGAGTAAATTCGCAAATTATAATATTTTGAATGAAGGCTTTTACAGAAATCTTCTGCTGGTGTATTAAATGTTAACGTTTTATTTATGTTGCTAAAAATCCACTAAAATTTAACTTTAAATGATGAGACGTGTCCTTCAATTGCTTTGTGAAACACCGAGTAAATCTTCGACGTAGCTTGAAAATGGTTAATACGAATTTGTGGAAGTGATTACGTCCCTGAAGCCTGGATCCAGCAAACAGCATTACAATCCGCATGACTGGTGTGTGGATCAATATTCTCGAATAGGGCTGTAGGCTAAACCGCGCGACTACAACGGACCCAAACCCCCAAGTAGACCGACCACCTGTTGATTACAGTTTCCGGAAGTCGCAGAGGAGCGTAGTGTAGTGTAGTAACATTTATCGACACCACTTATGATTGGTGTAACACATGTCAGTGTTCTGAAGGCTTAGAGTATTTACTCAACTACGCCTCTTCTTACATATAAAATCTTTCCACATGGCATTATCTGCTTCTCTATGAGTGCTATCATATCATAACGTAGTTGCTTGACAACCATTTTATTTCATTACGTTTCGCCACAGATGTAAATAACAGACAACTGATCAGTGGTAACAGACGAAAGAAGATTCTCATGATAAGTGTGCAATTTTGGGGGTGGGGTTTCACGGGGTCTTTCGTTAGTTTCTTGTATAGTGTAAAATTACAAATTTAATTATAATAAACATCAATTTAGAAAGTACCAAGATGGGCCGTAAGTTTAAAGTTTTAGAAAATATGGTAAATTACTGAAGAGTTTACATGAATTTAGTAATGACAATGGGGCGAGATTAGTAAACTTTACCACGTCCAAAAATCTGATCGTTAAAAGCACAACATTCCCACATCTTGATACCCATTAAGCACACTGGGACTTCTCTGATGACGCATGGGAGAAGCAAGGGGTGCATACAGAATTTTGGTAGGGAATCATCCTGGAAAACGACAACTGGGAAGACCAAGAAGGAGATGGGATGATAATATAAAGATGTATTTAGGGAGGTGGGCTATGAGGATGGTAAATGGATGGAGTTGGATCAGGATAGTGGCCGGTGGCGGGCTTTAGTGTTGTCGGTGTTGGACCTGCGGGTTCTGCTACTAGGGAGTTAGTTGTTTAGTTAGATAGTTAGTTAGTTATGGGAAATTACTGAGATTAATATCTATGCCCAAAATTAAGAAAAGGGAAGGGCAACCAACCACAGCTCGCTGATGGGATTCTGAATATTGTGAAGTAGCATCAAAGCCAATGAGTTATAAATTTGTGAAGAAAGTATTTAGCAACTAAACCTTTATGTTCTAAAAATTTACTTTGAGGCATTCTTTATAAATGTTCATTTTGCGTTTATAAACAAGGCGGCGTAAAAAGGGAGGTCAGAACAGGCCTGTCTCATAAATTGGAGTCAGATAGTGGAATTGTAAGCAAGTTCTATATCATAAAGTTAACTGTACAAATTTCACAACAAAGCTTTTGTTCTGATCTACTATCAACTTTTAGTAAGGAAAGTTTTGCCTGAGTTTCAGTTTAACCTGTAAGAGTTATGCATAAAGTTGGGTCTAATGAGAAAATTCCTTTTAAGGCTGTGGCAGGTAAGTAACTGACGTAAGAAAAGTGCGGGACACAATCTTTCAGGGGAAAAGTGCGACAAACTTGACAGCCTAGACGCTCACAGCTTGGAAAGTAAGGCCCTACGCTACTTTCGGATGACAGTTTAGCGAATGCTCCACTAGAGGAGGACTCTTGAAGCAGCAAGAGACGGAAACTACAGGGACAACTGTAACGATTAAACGAATCAGCTTTTGTATGATCCAAAGCAATTTGCTTTTCCATTGTTTAACTATTTCTTACAAAGTTTACAGCTTACATGGCATAGAATGGCAACATTATATGAGCGATAGATCGAAAAGTGAAATTTCATGTACTCACGGGGGCGAGTATTAAGATGGCCGACTTCTAGGTTGTTGCGCCGTGTAGTCTGGAAAGATTTTACCGATGTTTCAGAGGTGCCTGCTGCCTCCATCATCAGGGCGATCACCGAGAAGACAATGAAAATGTAAAGATCTAACAAAAAAGTAAAGTAATTAAAAGCGGTTGGTATATAATAAATATCTGTAATCTCGACACTAGATAAAATCAATAAATTAGCTTAAAAACTCCGGCAGTCTTACCGCCGGAGAGAGAGTCCTTTGTAGTCATTTCGCAGAAAATTGTGTGGGCCTGCAACACGGGCAGTGAAAATAAATATTTCCCTTTTCCGAGAACCAAAACCCGGTCATCAATCCCATAGCTAGCCACTTCATTGCCTGAAGAATCTCGGTTCTGGGAAAGACAAAAAGTCGTGGTGTAGTGTTTAACACACATCAGGAAGTCCTTTGTCTTATTTGAGGTTTCTGCTCATTTTATTAGTTTCTTAAGGCAAATCATAGGGCAGGAATGACACAGACCATGAATATTCTTCCACTCCCAAATTCGTCATTCATGATCGTTCTGTCGTTCTACGTCACATAATAATTGATTAACCCCCCCACCCCCAAACAATAAGCTCTCTTGAATGGTTTTTTCAGTGGAAATTCATGCAACTATTAAATTACTCAACTAAAATACATATCGACTGGCTAAACAACGTGGTTGGTTTATCACAGAGTTGAATATTGGAAGTAGTTTGCATTCAGAACGAAATAAAGGTACAGCCAATTTTTCCTGTTCACTTCCGCCGGCAAAACAGATGAATAATTTCAACGTTCAGTTCTGGTTCGCCAGATTATACACACGATTTCTTCCCTGTGCTAGAAAAAGCATAGTCCTGTATCAATACTTTAGAGAATTCATGTATTTGCACATCCAAGACGTTCATGTATGGACCCAATCAACTGCGTGCTCTATTCTTACACGGTCTGATGAACACTTGTTCCAAACCGTTTTAAATATAACTTAATTTAACTTCAAGAAATGTCGCACTAGGAATACTGCTTCGAATGCTCTTGGGTCAAGGAAGTTCTGTGTAGGTACAGGTGTGGCGAAGGGCCCTTCCCCCGTCAAACGAATCTCGTCAAATGTCCAAGTTCATGGAGGAAAGTATTTATTGAGAAGCTAATATTCGCTCAGCTGGTCAAGAAATTAGCAACCTAAAGGTTTAATATCGCGTCCACAAAATCCCTGGCTCTAAATCCAGTCCACATCGTCACATCCCGTTTCATTGACATCCATTTTAACAACGTACTGTTAAGAAAGCTAAGGGCTCACAAGAGGGTTTTGATATTGCGTTTTCCGAAAAAAATGTGATAAGCTTTTCTCCAACTCTCCTGTGTCCGCTGCATGTTCTGCCCATCTAATCTACCTTGATTATAATATTTTATTTAAAGCACAAATAACAACAAATTCTTTTTATGCGGTTTTCTCCCATCCTCCTGTTATATTCTCTCTTGGGTAAAAATTATCCATTTAGCAACTTTTTACTGAATTACCTGAAGGAGTAATTTCAGAATTATTCTGAAATGGATCGGGCCACAAAACTTGACCCATAACAGCTTTAGGAGGAAGAATGTTTTTTTCTTGTCCCATACAATGTAATCCCTTAAACGGATGCTCCTCACGGGATAAGAACTTAAGGTACATAGTATCAAAGCATGGTTGCGAGTTGATAGGGACAAGATATTGTTATTATTTAATCGGCAAAATATAGACAATCAGCTGTTACGGGAAATCTCTTGAGACGTCTTTTAACTAACACCACGGATCAGAGCCCTTCTTAAGTAAATAATAACTGAGACGTCATTTAGTGAAACAAATTAATATACTGGAAATTTCAATAGAATTAAAAGGAGACAAAGTTTAGGGAATAAGTAAACAACCTTCGGTATACATGTGCAGCAAGAATTAGTTCCCTTATTTGTATTTGGAATTACGTCCAGCTGCAAGGAGGGATTGGCTTTGTTTGCTTTTACGCTTTGAAGGAATTCTCTGGCGGTCCCGATTCTACGGAATGTTCGAAAACGTTCTCTCTCCATTCCACTATCCTTCGTGGACGATGTCTGGAGAATAAGTGGGCTATAAACACGGACAAAACATCGGATGTTAACAATGGAAAACCAGTTCGGAGTAAACCAACAATAGTAGCAAGGCAGTGTTTTAAGAAGTTAATAAATCCTAATGATACAAGTTACATTTTCCTGATATGTTTATTGAATGTTTTTCCAGATCTGTTAACTGATATAGCAACTTTAGATAACGTGGGCCCAATCTGTTACAGTGCCATGTCCAGAGGATGTGCCCGCCTTCTGCCGCTGCTGCTGTCAACCGGCATGCTGTTATACCTGATCGCGATGACAGAAGCTGTCCCTGGACCTCTCGATTGCAGGTCAGTTCCATTGTTTTTCTTGGTGTTACAGTCGGATTATAACTTCGTCTCCCCTGTTGTTGAGGATTTCTTAATTCTTAAGACAGGAGGTGAGACTTCGCGAAAGGAGAATCAGCCATCGAAAGGTCTGCACCATTAGTTAGACTGTAGAGGTTTATGCGTTAAGAAGTTTCATTATAGGATTCGGAAAAGTTGGACATTCGATCGCGTTCTGAGCCACTTTCATCCAATATATGCCTTCACGCCACGTTTTTTAGATATACATTTTATTGTTATTCCTTTGTCTCCGCTTAGGCCTCCAAAAGTGGCCTGTTCCCCCTGAGATCTGACCTTTAACAGATTTTTCCAATAAAAGTTCAGTTTCCACCAACAGGTGGTATGACTGTGCTTTAATCACACACCTCCTCTGCGACACCTACGGTGTGTGTGTGGGGGGGGGGGGGGAGAAA